TGATTATTGTTTTTACCTAATTGAAATTTGATTTATTTTTTTTATTTACATTACCCCATTGTTTTAAACTGCTCTAAGAAAGGTAGTTTATTTAAAATATTGCTAGTTTTATTTAGATTACTCAGTTGCAGTAACTAAATTATTGTATTAAAAATAAAATATATAAATAAATATATATAAATACATTTAAATTTTTTTATTATTATTATGCCAGATAGAATTTAATATAGATTTCTGTGATTTATTTAAGTGCTTTTAATGTTTACTCAAAAAACACGCTGCATATTTATTCAGGAAAAGTGCCAGAAAACGATATAGAATCAATAGTTTTCACAAATTCTTCGCCGTGCAGTTCGATCTGCAACCGTATCCGTGTATCGGTATCCATTTGTCGATTTCCCAGGGAAATGCAGATGGAAATGGGGTATAGTCTCAGTCTCACTTGGCAATTAGTTTAGTGGCTGCCAGCCCGCAGAGAAAATACAAAATTAGTGGCAGACTATAACCAGATCCGCAGAGCCAAACCCCCCTCCCCACACTCGTCGGCATGGCCGTAGAGCCATTCCGTATCCGGGATTCGTATCCGTCCGGATTGCGGAGCATTTTAGTGAGGCAGAGTGTGCGAAAAGTAATTTGCATATGTATTGCCATGGCATTTGCATTTATGCATGTCGACATCACCCACTACAAAGTCCCCCTCCCCCCTCCCCATCTATCCCCGTTTTGAAAACCCACGCCTCTGTGTTTTTGCATTTGCACATTTGCGGTCATGTTTATGCGCGCCAGTTAATCGATTATGCACGGACTGAGTGAGCAGCGCCGGAAATGTGCAAATGCTGCACTTCCGCTGTTGCCGCCGGCATTTCCCCCTAAAAACACCCTGCTAAAAAAAAAATGAAGAACCCCGCCTCCTTCATCCATGCCCCTCGGTTGCTCTTTTTCATTTGACATCCTTTGTGTCGCAGCGAGGTGTGAAAACGGAAATCATTATCGCGTTGCTGTCATCTCTACTATTTCTATAAGCTCCCTCGATTGCCCTAAGTTTCTAATAATTTTGTATTACAAAATTGCTTTCTATTTTTCAGTTTTAACTTAACGTTTTAGAGTTCCCCAATTTAATAACCATAGTGAAGCTTATTTTGCCTTTAATAGTTTTAATAGTACAAAATACAATATATATATTGGTTACAGTAAAGATTACTTTGAAGCCAAGGTTTTATATTTTTCAAAACTTTCTTCCCTTCTTAAATATTTTAAATTATATTATTTTGTATTAATATTACAGGGAAACAAATTTTCGTTTTGAAAGATAGGTTTTTCCCCCCACACATTTGCGGTTGTTTATTCAAACATTTATCGCCCACGGCAGCATGCCCATATCACGCATTTTGATAGATAAATATAGCAAATTTGTGCATTTTGCCTATGCGGGTTTTCGGTGTGTGCACTCATCATCCATTGTAAATAGACAAAATCTAGCATTAAATTATTCAAATATAATTTTTGCACCGGTTGAAATTTTTTTGTGTTTTAGCTTAACTCCAATTACAAAGTTGCAAATTTGACAGGAAATAATCAAACTAAACTTAATGTATGTGGAGTCGCAAAAAAAGTTCTGCTTAACTAGAAAAAATGTATTTACTTCGGACTGCCCCAAAATAAATAATTAAAGAATTATTTAACATAAAAAATAGTAAACTATAATGAAATAAAATATTTAAAAAATAGTATTGAGAGAAAAATAAGCTAAAAAAAGTTGTGCATTCCTTTTTCCTATAAGAACACATATAAGCATCTTAATACACATTTTTATTAAAAATTAAGGACGTTTTTCAATTTGGAATTTCCGTAAAATCTAAAAAAAAATTAAAATATTCAAGAAAGTAGTTAAATTAGTTACAAACGTTAGCTGGGAATTAAGGTAAGCCATGTAGCCAAGATAAAAGATTACTTCCAAAAAAAATGCAAAATCGATATGCGATTGCTTTATGGCCCAAAAACCATTGATCTTGGGCCCCCATCTCTTTGGTTCGATTTATTTTCGCCAGCCATTTGGCGATGCTAATCGATGTGCATTTGTGGCTAACATCACTAAGCCGCCCACATCGGGCCGGTGGTGGTGGGGGCGTGGCATAATCACTGGCCATTTATCAAGCATGCACTTGGATGTGTGGACCAAGAAACAAGCTAAAAGATACAAGGATACAAGATTACAAGGATACTGGTGGGGAGGGGAGGGGAGGCGAGGGGATATAGCCAAAGAAACGGCAGCTGCAAGGAGTCACAAGTGAAGACCGAAGATGGCACGTCTGAGAAATGGCCTGTTTGGATCTGGGCAACAAAGTTAATTGAGCAAACCGGCCGGCGAGGGAGCAGGCCGCAGTTGAAATCCAATTTGTCTGCAAATACACAAATGATGGTCCCTGGTACTCCGGTACTCTGGCACTCCAACTCCTTGGCTCCTTCGATAGCCCGGAGTGGCCACAACCGGAACATCCTGGAGCAGCAGAAGCATTCAGGGCAGCATCATTCATCTGCTAGGACCAACAAACAAAAAAATAGAGGGATGCAGGCCGTGAAAGAAACACCAAAGGCAGACAAAGATTCTGCTCACCCCGGGCCACCACCCACCCCCCAAGGACATGAAGATGGGGGGGTGGGCCGTGGCCATCTGGTCGGCACTATCAACAACAACAACAACAGAAACTTGGCCAGCATCAACAGCAACAACATCGAGAAGGAAAGCCATCGGATACGGATCCCAGCGGGCAGCCAATTTCCCTCTCGCCCAGGACATCGCCTCTCTGCTTTGTGAATATTTCAAAAATTGCAGCAGCAAAGGAGCCACACTCAGAGAAATACTATTATAATTTATTTATTTATTTTTTATTTATTTATTTATATTTCCTTGCGCGACAAGTGAATACTTATATCTAGTGCGCTAGTCACAAGTTAATTTTTGAGGTAACTCTTGTATATTTTATTTTGCACAATATTTATTTAATCATAATCATAGAATTGTAGGCCCCTTAAATTGGAAATTATTTTCATTTAGAATTTAAATTCTAATTTTAAAGCCATTTATCTATATTTCTATTTCACATTTTTGTTTACATAGCTACTATTTAAAGAAATAAAAGGATCAAAAATATTCCTTTAATATTCCGTTTTCTAAACCTAGCAATCTATTTAAAAAAATTTGTTTTGCCAAAATCAGCATTGCATTTTCAAATTTCTAAGAAAAAGCTTACTAAATTTGTTTAGAAAGGTTAAATTATAATGTACAAAGTTAACAAAATCTTGACATACATATCAATTTATTTAAAAATTTATTTTGCTTAAATTAGCATTGTTTTTTAAAATTTCTCATAAACGTTAAAAAAAACGTTTCAATAATGTAAAATTTAGCATGTTTGCGTTTATTGATATTTTATTATTTTAAAAACTAAAATTCAAGAAGTAGCTGTTATCTAAAAATGTTGAGCATTTATTTATTTATTCGCCAACCATTTCATGTTATTAGCTGGCTACTATTTGATAAACTTAAGACTTAATATGACTTTTTATATATAAAACAAATATGTTCCATACATTTTGTGTTATTTTACGAGCCCCGATCAAAAAGCACTCCTTTTTTCGCGCAGTGCAGCTGCAGCAGGCGATGTAACATTAGTTGAATCTGAAGCTGGTGTCCTCTCTTGGCAGCGGCAGTAAAATCAACAAATTTTTCAGGCTAACAGGAATGGCAGTGGCAGTGGGGCTTAGGCCCAAATGCATTTTGTGTGGCCCCTTGGAAAATAATACCCTTCCTCCGTCTAAGTGGGCACATAGTGGCGGCATGAAACAGCGAGAGTGTAAGGGTATACAAATAATGGGATGGGATGGGCTGGAAGTCCGGGGGAGTGCGATATGCATCTGACAGCATTATGGGTAAATTTGTTTGCCTTGTAAGCATATCCTTGGCGCACACCCGGCTGGGGATATGTCTACCATCTGCCTAACAAGCCAACAACAGTTTAGTTTGCTCCACTGCCCGCTGCCCTTCATCTTTCGCCTTCTGGGAAGTCTTCCTACTTCCGTCTGGCATCTGTTTGTGGTTCTCAAAGTCCTGCAGTCCTGCAGTCCTGCAGTCCTGGTGTCCTGGTGTCCTTCTCCTCCTCCTCCTCCTAGTCCTCGTGGGCAACATGATCTGCTTCCAACTTAATCTGCATATGCGACCAAGCATCTGGACGTCGGACTCTGCCAACATAAATTGCCGGAGAACGAGGCCCGAAATCAGGACAGCCTCCGTTCTCGACTTGGCCCAATATCAATTCGCATGGAGGCAAAAGACTGGCATTCGCTGGCATGCGGAGACATCGCAATTCAAACCTAACTTCGACTGGTCTTGGTTCACCGCAAAAGCAAAACATTTAATTGGGCAACTAAAAATATGCCAAGTTAAGGCAATATTTACATGCCTTCACAATTGCTTACAAAACTTAACCATCTTAAATATAAATAATATATATATATATATATATATATATATGTATGTGGATTTGCAGAATTTGAACTCTTGTGGGTCATGTCGTGTTACGTTATCAATTATCAATCAATTTACCCCATCTCCTTTTTATGTCCCTTCAACACATGCTTGCTGTCACTTCGCCATTTTGCCGTAAATCGAAAACGTTTCCCACTCGGATCGTAAAATCCGGCCATAACCCGGGCAGCATATCAAGTGCGTTTCCGTCCGGTTCCTTTGCTGATGACTCATCAATAAAGCAAATAAAACAAGCGCAGGAGATGTTACATCTCAAGTCAAAGATATTCCACAAAAGAAAGTGGGCACATCAGCTGAATAAGGATTTCCTGGAATTTAGGTACATTTAATCAGAGTAGATATTGCAAAAATAAAAGACCGATAATCTATTGTAGATAATAAATAATTAATAATAAAATTATCGTTTGCAGCCTGGATTTCCTTTTATTATATTTATTTTAATAATTTTATATTTTCTAAGTGAATTATTGTCTTCTTTGTAACAAACATTTTAGTCCTTTAAGCTCCATCTTCTCCTTTAGTTTTAGAATTACTTCAGAACATTCTGCATCTCTTGTTGTCATTTAACACTGCACCAGATCTCGCTGGAGAATGCCCATTGGCAAACTCGCAACGCGGATGCTTTCCCAAACGAAAGATCATGCACAAGTTTCCCCTTCCGCGGCGATTTTCCTTGGCCATGTCCGAGGGATGTCCCTGAAAGCAGCCCATTTCCCATCCACCTGTGGCTGCATTTTCCGCTGGCAGGACTTTTTCAACGCTCTCCAGATCGCTTAACATTTTTTTGGGACTGCCAAAGAAGATTCTGATTTATTTTTTAAGATCAAAGAAATTATCATTCAATACATTCATACCTGCAATTCGATATCGATGGGTTTTTTTCCAGGCGTAGACAATAAAGTCGCAGTGAACTGTGCTCCGAATTCAAACTTCTACGCCTACTCCGATGTCCGCCCATCAATCCAGCCAAAAGGATGACATTGTACAGATGCCGTGTATGCTTATCCCCAAACTTTGTCACAGTTAAATGACAATAAATGTCACACAAAACGCCATAAGCACTCACACACATGTACCAGTCTACATACATACATATATATTTGGGAATATATATATAAACATATATTTATACATACACTGATAGGAGACGACAAGGACATAAAAGGCAAAAGTTGTGTTCGCCAGCGACATCAGCGCATAAAACTTTTCCTTTTCCCGGCTTTTCCTACCTTTTGGCCAGGCAACATGCTCGACATCTTTGCCGCTTGTCTCTTTCTTTTCATACCCTTGTAAAAGAAATAGATAGTATGCTAAAAAATTATATTTCAAATCATTAACTGATTTTGTACTTGTAATTAAACATTTTAGTAACGATGTTTTACATAAGGATTTTTTTTTTAATTTATTGATTTGAATTCCGTTGTTTAGGGTTTAATTTATTAAAGTACACCAAACTGAAATTTTTAGTAGCCTTTTTTTGTGGGCAAACTATTCTATGAATACATAAATCACGGTTAGGTAAAACATAAACATATCTGCATTTCTGGCAGCCCTCCCAATTACTTACTCTGTTCTTCCTGATTTCGAACCTTATAGAGGATATTTATGTAAGTAGGGTATTTAAGACGCCATTTTGTGTCATTAGTTTCTTGTTCCTTGTTTTCATTTTACTTTATTTTTATCTTATTTTTTTGTAAGTACTTAAGCCTGTGACGGAGGCACGTCATAACTTGGCCGTAAAACAGCTGACAACTCGGAGCAGAAGAGCGGGATGTGTTATGGCATCTCCTGTACAACATCTACCCTTCTCCTTCTGCCCCTGTTCGGCCATCTCTTTCTGGCCCCCGATCTGGCCTCTCTTTCTCCACCAGTTAGTTGTTTTAGTGGCTTAATGTGCTAAACAACTGTTCAACGAGGGACAAGGGGAAGGAATTGAATTCCGGCTGAATTTAAGGACTAAGAAAAGACACTCACCGGGGTTTTATAGCCCTCTCTTTCACTCCTCGCCTTCCCTTTCTCTCTCTGTACGAGTTTCTGTATGTGTATGTGTGTGTGTGTGTGGGAGTACGTCGAGAGTTGGCCGCAATAAAAAAACATCATGCGGGTAGCTGTTGCGTTGTACTATCTATCCACCTCCCATTGCAACCCGCACAAACACAAAGATAAGTACAGGCAAACCTTAGTATAACTAATTTTAACCAAGAGAAAAAATTTGTATTTTTAAGGTTTATGGCGCATAAATTATATTTAAATATTATATTTATTTTTTTTATTATCAAATTAAATATTTTTACCTCCAGGCCCGTATCCTTTACACCGTTTATTAAATCTTATTATTACATTTATTCAAAAGCTTTGAAAATGGTGCGAATTCAAGAACAATGTTTCTCAGAAAGCTTTTGGAGTATTTTTCAAATAAAAAGAGTTATTTTTCGTCTTATATAAGTATGACTGTATATGGCATCTGTAGTATCTGGCCCTTCTCGCTCAATTTGGCAAATTCCCTCATGCACTCCACTCATTTCTAGTTTGCCTACTCGAGCCTCGTTTGTCATTCATCCAACGGCCTCCGTCTTTCTTTGCTTTCTCCGCCTTTCTCCGCTTTCTTTGTGAAGACGACGGCTTTGTTTTCCCTTTTCGGTGGGGCCTGTCGTAGGCTCTGATTGTTTGTAAATAAAATCGTGAGTTTTATTGTCGCTGGGCAAACTTTGATTAAGAGCAGCGTCAAAGTATTGAAAGTGTGTATGTGGAAGCAAGCCGAAATTAAATTTTGAAGGCGACCGAGAGAGGACTACGAGAAAATCCCCCTAACTAGTTGAAAACTTTTGAACGCCACGAAAATCTGCACACACGAAATGCAGAAAAACAAATACCGAATTCGACAAACTTTACAAATTGAGAGAAATTGGCAGTTTTGACGGCATTTTTATTCGCATGCAATATTATTTCGATATTTGTTCACTTCTATGCCATTGGTGTCTGTCGCTTTGGCAGCATCTGCACTTGAAAAAAGTTTTGCATTTCATTTTAATCAATTAAAAATTTTGCATTTTAATACCTAAATTATATATAGTATTAAAACTTTAAAACCCAGGAAAAAACTTTAGTAATGAAAATTTCTTACAGAAAAATCACTTCAGAATTATAAAGCACATCTATGGTTATTCTTGTAAAGCAGTAAAAGGAAAAAATGTTTTTTTTTTTATTGTAAATACCCATTTAATACCAAAGTGTGTCCTTATATTCTTTTGAATGTTTGCTTTGTGCCCGCCTTTCTATGCGTTTGTTTTCCATTTCACCTGGGCAATTTTTTGTTCTCATCGTTGGCATTTGGAGTGCAACGTGACTCTCCGTTTGGGGGGTATATACATGGGGGTATATATATGGGGGGTATGTGACTACTGGGCGGGCGAAATACCCCCCACAGCTTTTGCATTGTTTCGACAGGGCGGACAAAACACACAAATAACTGTCAAAGTTTCAATTCTTTTCGAAAGTAAAGCACGGCTAAAAAATAAAAATGAAAAAAAAACGAATCCAAAGCAAACAACGGCAGAACAATAGTCGAACAAATTGAAAGCTTTCGATTGGTACTCCCCTATTCCGCACTTGTTTCCCCACTTTTCACTTTTGATTAAAACAGAAGCAACACAAAGTGGAATGCAAGTTGAAAAACATAAAAAAAACTAGTACTTATGTCGTTTTATAAAGAATTAAGATTTTTCTTTAATATTTATAAAAAAAAAATTGTAATTGACAGTTCTTAGTTCTATCTCAGAAATCGGTAAGATTTAGTTTTTAGAACATCTTAGACTAACAGGTAAACAAAAAACACACTTTGACCATGACGGGATTCGAACCCACAACCTCCGCATTCGAAGTCCGACGCCATATCCTTGAAATATGGTTGATTCCTATTATTTAAACATTTATTGGAGTTTCGAGCAGCCGGCCCTTATGCTTAACACCCTGTGTCGCCGGCATAAATCTAGTGGTGATGGAAGTTCTGTTTACTGGCACGTTAATATGCGTATTCTCCATAGGTCGTTTTCCTCTGAAGCCCATCCTCTCGCTGTCATGGAAAGTGCAACAGCTCTCGCTCTTTGAACAATTTTAATTATTTCCACACGCAGCAAGGTGTAATCCTGGGCGGCCGGAGTGGGGCGATACCGACCGCAGGGAGTGTGTTGGCTTTAACGGGGAATTAAGTCGGGCAACAGGAAGTCAGCAAGCACAATAATTAAGATGAGCGCTCGAGGGGCAATTATGTGACATCAACTTGCCAATTTTCACCGCCAACTCCCCATACTCCTGCTCCCTGCATATTTTATCCTGCAGACTCGCAGCTTGTAAGCGCCACAGGATAATGCGAAAGGCTTGGCCAACAGTGGGTTAAAACACGGGGCTTTTAATTGGATTTTAGCGTATTTTTCATAACTTTTTAAAATATTATATAAATTAATCAAACAAATATATAAATAAAATTAAAGAGTTTGTGTTTAAAGAAACCATTTTAGGTCCAAATATATATTCTTCACCTGTTAAGGTCCATCCAAAAATACCAAAAATTATGATTTATACGTAAATTCGTAAGAAGCTTTTTAAAGTAGTTTTTTATTGGGGAGTTCTTAATATTATTTACATTTTTATAACAAAAAAAAGAACAACAGAAAATGTTATCCCAAGTTGTTATTGAACATGCGTATTTTAATAAGTTTAGCTCCAAAATCCACTAGTTAAGTTTTTCATATTTATAGGTTTTTTTAAGAAGATATTGTTTATTCGGATTAAGTAGGCCTTTTCCCATCTGGTAACAAGTTATCATAACTTCCAAAGTGTTTGCTCACCAGTTTGGTCACTCGACTCCTAAATCTAAAATCAAAACAGACCAGATAGAAACGACACAAAACCGAGAAATAACGCAGTTTTGCCTCTTTATTAATCCAAATTTTCGACGAACCACCAGTTAAGATGAGCTCTGAACCGAATGATGGGGCTGGTGACAAGGGGGCAATAATGGATCAAGTCGCTGATGGTCACAAGAGGATGGCTTTGGATCTGGCCCTGGCCAATGTGGTGGATCTTGCCCGTCGCCTGAACCTGACCAGCGTTGAGGGCTATGGCTGCTTGGAAAGGGGGGGTGAGCCGGATGGTCAGAAGTCGGGAGATGACACCGCACGTGCTTCGTGCTCTGTGGAGCCACCAGTCGGTGGCGGTAAGAGGCCCTATTTGAAGCCCAAGCCTGGACGTGCCAGATTCCGCAGGTCGGAGGCCCGACCCCAGACACCACGTGGCGTCCAGTGTTTGACCGCCCATCTGCCGGTGCCACCGCCACCACCACCACCCTCTCCTCGCTGTCCACAGGCCTGGGAACTTTGTTCGGCACTGGATCGGGCCGAGGACATACTGAACCAGTCTGGCAAGACGGACGAACTGCTGGACCAGCTGCTGTACGAGGCCAAGGTCATTGACCAGCAGGTGATCCTTCAGGGTCGTATGCAACGGGACGTGGAGATGATCCGCTGCCTGGAGACGGAGTTCTCTGGGCGATCCATGCTCTACCTAACCGAGGCCATTCGAGCGGATTGCGAGAGCCAGCATGTCCAGGAGCTGCGCAATCGATGCATTCGCACCCTGAAACGCCACGAGGCACGGCTCATGAAGCTGGAGCTGCAGTCCGAGGTGGACGAGTTCCAGGACGAGGGCAACGGCAAGGGCACCCAAACCGATATCTATGCTTATCAGGACATGATCGTGCCGACACTGGTCGACTTCGAATTGCCATTGGATGGACAGGAACCCGGACCAGGAGCACACAAGGCAGACAGATCGGGAGCAGGCGATGGCCACCAAGGCGAGAAGAAAGTCCAGGATAAATAGCATTTAAATAAAGATAGCTAATCTACATTGCTAACGCACATAACGTACATTGCAGTGAAACGTACTTCTTTAAAAGCTATTAAGCTATGAGTAAACATATTTTCAAAAATAAAATTCCATCCAAACTGTAGTAGATGTAGCTAAACTACAGCTATGCATATACATATGTATGTATAATCAAAATAAACTAAACGCTAAGAAAAATACTTTGCAGGTTTTTAAATTTATATATGTAACTACTTTATATGGATTTACATAAAGCATTATGTAGCTTAACAATGGCTTTGGATTTATGTATAATCAAAATATGGGAGAGAAAGACTTTTCTGGTTTACAAATTTATATAACCAAATTCTTTAGAAAATACCTACATTATTTGAAAATCCTTGTGCATTTTTAATAAATTGAATATTGAGATTAAACTTAGCATGTTTAATCACATACTTGATTTCAGGTTGTTTTGTTATTGAAGATAGTAACTGGATTTGTTTTTGATTAGGAGACTGCACCACATTAATCTCTGCTTAATCAGCCTTTTGAATTTAAATTTATTAATAAATATAACAATAAATAAAGTAATGTTAATATTATAAATACTAAAAGCTTGGTCTGCAATTTATATTTATTCAAAATATAGGCAATGTTCTAAAGTATCACAAAAACCAATTTCAAATACCTCAAAATCGTAAAACAAAAAAGTATTATTTGGTTAATCCTTTCCTAAATAAAAAAAAATATTTTCAATATTTAGTAAAAAACTTTTGAATCAAAAATACCACTGTTCATTGGCAACTTTGTGTTTGCCTTTGCATCTGTGTGTGTGGAAAGTTTTCTTGTTAAGTTGCAGATTGAATGGCGCCGGTAAACACGGCGCGGAAAGTGCAGGCCTCCGGGTTGGTTTCCACTTCCCAGTCACCAGTTCGGAGATGCCAGTTTCCAGATCCGAGGACACCATGCATCCATGCCCCTGATTGAGCCAATTCCTTACTCATAACTAATTGCCAGCGTCGGCGAAGTCGAAGTCGAAGGCGAAGACGAAGACGAGGACGCTGGTAGCGGTGCAAAGTTTAAATTAAGTTGCGTGTCATAGTCGAAAAGTTTTCCACTTATTCAAAAGAGGCACGTGCTCCACTGAACACCACTCCACGGAGCAACTCCTGTCCCTCACTGGCCAACAACAACAGCAACATCAACAGCAAGATAAATAATAATAACTTCGGGCTGACAAAAATTTGCATTGCAGCTTTACGTGCAGACAAAATGACAAACAAATGAGCTATAATCTATAGAAAACTAAATAAGTTTGGCTACGTTGTAAGCCATTAAAACAGTAAAGTAATTCAAAACAATAAATCATAAAATAAAACTCAGGGGACATTTTAAAAAGGTGCTCAATAAAGGCTTATCAATACAAATCACTTTCTTCGTTCAAGGTTTTTCCACAAAATCTAAAGCGAATTTTCAACTAATAAATAGGTTTCTTTTATTTAGAAATTTAATCAAATGCATAACATTTAAATGGAATTTTCTCTGTATGTGCAATGTAAGTCCTTCAATTTCTTACCGCCATTACACACATTTGTTTGGTTTTATCACGCTTTATCTTAGGATAATTTCCAGTTGATATATGTAAATGTCATACCATCGAACACTGAGTAACACTTGAGTGGACCATCTCTTCAGTTTGTTTTCACCTTCGGCTGCGGCGTCGTCGATGGCGACTCATCGAAGTCCAGGTAATCGGCGTAGTCCCGTCGCTTGGACAGCGCCAAAGTCCAGGAGATGATCCACAGGGGCAGGAAGATCGTGCAGATGACAAAGTACAGCCAGTTGCCATAGATCTGGAAATGGAAAAATTCATATTAAACATAAGTACTTTAGGATCTTTAAAAATAAATGTAGTTAACCGCCAGTTTATTACTAGGTTACAGACTTTTATTTTATTATAAATATTTATATTTAAGAACCCAAAAATGCCCAAGTTTTATATGGTTTGTAATTCTCTAACTATGTTTCACCATATATAAAAATATAATAAAATAGCTAGCTAGGTATGATTAATATTAATGTTGTAGGTAAGGAACGTTAACCGGAGATTATGTAAACAGTATAATTTTTAGATATTTTGTATTAAAGCTGCTGTATTTGAACCTGTGCTTATAATTTTGTTAACAGTTTATATTTTGTATTAATTTTAAACTAAGCTAATTCGTTTTAACAAAATGAGAAGATTAACTTTTAAACTTTATAATCTGGTTATAACTTAGAGTTATAATAACAGGTTGATCACATATCGTAAGACAAAAATAATGTAGTAAACTCACCACGGAATCGATGAGCCCGTAGGCCGAGGCATCCATGGCCGCGGTGGCCGCCCTCAGCATGATCTTCTGCAGCGGCAGCTCCGGGAACTGGTAGAATGTCATGGCCAGCACGATCACATAGATGACCATCATGGGGTTCATGACCAGCGTGACCAGGCGGATCGAGTTCCGCAGCGTGCTGCGCGAGTTCTCCTCCTTGGTCTCCAGCGAGATGACCAGCGGCACCGTAAGCACGGCCGCAAAGAATCCCAGGGCGAAGTTGAGCAGCCCGATGACGATCAAGGCGCAGCCATAGATCAGCAGGAAGGCCACGTGCAGCAGCTCCAATCCTCCGGGCGGCAGAACGACCACAAAGGGCAGGATGAAACCGATGAGGGACAGGAAACTCAGCACTGAGGTGGTCAGCGGTGCGGCGCCCATGGGAATCTCGAGGAAGTACTGCTGCAGCGGCAGCACGTTGCACAGGAAACCGATTAGCAGGGTGGCCGTGAGGTAGATCAGCACCGAGCCATATGGCAGCTCAAATTTATCCGCATCCGAGTCCGTCTCGAGTTGCATTTCCTGCTCCTGCTCCGGCTCCAGCTCGTGTTCCAGTTCCGGCGCCCTGACCAAACCCGCCGCCGTTTCCAGTTCGGCATTGGTCGCCGGCAGCGTGGACCACGTTAGGTAGGCCTTCACAAAGGCACAGGCCACCAGAGCCACCAATGCGGGCATATAGTCCCCGATGGAGATGTACCGGTCATTGTTGACGATCACATAGAAAAAGAAGCTCTGGTGGAAGCGCTCCAGCAGATTGTTCAGGCTCCTGGCAATGCCCTCGATGGCTTTCAGCAGAGGCACCGCCGCCGAGCCCGGACTTCCCTTCAGCGTGGCATGGGTGGCCCGCCGATTGGCGGCTATGGTTAGGGCATCAATACGATAGCGGTGGAACAGCCCGTGATTGCCGTTGGGCACGCCCGACGACTGGCTGGCCAGCATGGCCAGCATCTGGCGAAGATTCTGCTCGAACGCGGACTGACTGTGGCGGCGCTTCTTGCGCGGTGCCTGCTTATAGCCAGAGGCGATGCCCTCGCGGGCCATAATCCGCTGCACCAGATTGAACATGTCCAGATTGGGCAGCTTGCCGTTCAAGCCCTCGATGCGCACATCCACATGGTCGATCTCCAGGTCCTGGACTTCAATGTTGAGGGCCGCTTGCAATGAGCCAGCGCGGGCGGGCAAATTGCCGGGACGCAGATACGCCTTGCTCACGTCCAGATCCCGATCCCCGTCGTGATAGGCCTCCAGCCAGGCCTGCATGCCCAGCTGCTCCTGTTCGGTGACCAGAAAGATCAGATCCTTGGCCCAATAATTCTTGCGCCGCGCAAAATCTGCAAAAGCCAGCAGCAGCGGCACGCTGGCCGAGATGTCCGTGTGCACAGAGCTGGCGGCGCGATAGGGAGCGGCGAAAACAATGCCCTCCGTGGAGGCAATCCTCGGTGCCCTCAGTATCCCATAGATGTTCTTGCCGTGATACTCCTTGCCGCCGCCAAAGGGATAGCGCAGCGTGTAGTTGTGCGTGTGCGTCTCCAGCCCGAACTCGTTCATCTTGGCCGCAATCCAGGCGTGCGGCGTGGTGGATAGGTGATCCTTGCGCTCGCGCTGCAGCTCCTCCAGCAGCTGGATGGCCAGCCGATTGGCATCGATGCGGATCTCCGGGTAGACTAGGCCTGTTCAAGGGGAAAGCACTTGATAATAGAGGTCTTCCTTGGGCAACAGTGGAAACATTGGAAACATTGGAAACACTGGATAAAACGACATGGCACCCACCTGGGGAGAGGGCATTCTCGGAGAGATATGTGCCGTGGTTGAACTCCGGCAGCGCCAAACAGAAGAACCAGGCCACACCCGCCACATACAGGGCGTAGCACACTTTGCGGACATGTCGCGCCAGTCCGTCCACCAGTTTGCTCTGCGTCGATATCGACGGATCGGACAGGAGGCCCATTTTCGGTCCCGCGCAGCTATATCCTGTATATATCCCCAATCACAACAACAAAATTTGGCTACCCGGCGAATTGGAGCTCTTTCGATGCGGGCGCTATCGATAACGTGTTCGATAGCAATATCGTTATCGGTTGGACGGACATGCTCGTTAGCGAGGAGCAAGTTTGCGATAGTTCTTAGAGCTTTTTAAATTATAAATCAAATAATCATATTTATATATATGTATATATATATTTATTTCATATTTTTAAATTTTATTTAGGCTTACTGCGCATTAAATTACAAAATTTAGATTAAAGGGAATATATAAATAAGAGAATTAATTTTGCTTGATGGACCTTAAGGCCACAATATTTATTAGTTCTGTGCAAAAATATTTTGTATTTTTATTATGGCTGGCTCCATATATATACTTTTGTTAAATTAAATGTTTTTATTGCCGTTTCCCTAGAAGATTAAAATTATTGTGACAGATTAATAAATATTGTCCGATTAAATATACCTGCATAAATAATGGTTTGACGAAGCTTTGATTGCATTATCATATTTTATTATAATAATATATTAATTGGTTTATTGTTGATAATCAAGTCAATTAAAACGAAAATCATTTCTGATAAATTTTGAATGTTCTCCGTTTCTCGGTTTTTATTAGATTTAATATAAAGTAAATGTATTCAAGTTGTATGTTACAGATAAACATGTATTAATAAAATATAATCAAACTGGTTGACTTTGTGTGCAGAAGTATTCTTTCCTTTTTTTTATTCACGACGTTAATGTAACGAAAAACGTATTTAAGACAGGACACACAAATATACTTATTGTCTTCAAAAAAAAAAAAACACAAACGTTTATTGTTATTAGATTCTGTTTAAAGTCCTTGGATTTCTGAAAATATAGCTGCTTGAGGTTTTATGATTAAGCAGACTTTTGATATTCGTTTGCAGTTGGCAAATATTAAAGTAAATAATGAAGTAATACATTCAAATTGCTTACATTTATATCTTCAGATGATTTAGCTCTACTTTAAATAACTATTTCGTAAATAAGAGTTTTTACACTTGCTTCGAATACTAAGGGTTACAACAGCCTATTGACTACGAAAAAAAAAATTTTGGCGTAACTAAGAGTTTTTACATTTGCTTCAAACAACAAGGGTTACAACAGCCTATCCGTAAGGTTTTCCCTATCAACTATGAAAAAAAACTGAAAACCAAATGTTTGAACAAAACGTAACTCAAGTTTTTCATTGCTTATTGTTTTGAATGCTCCAAATGCTTCAGTTTTAAGTCAGAAAATCTATATAGTATGTACTCTTATGGCTCCTTAAAAATATGAAAAAAAAAGTGTCTTAATCTTCATCATCGTCTATAACAATAATTTGCGATGATAGCAGGACGGGGTCCCGTGGTTCCGTATGCTAGCCGGAACTGCCCGGAACTCTGGCCACTGCCGGCGCACTATGGGGATTCCAGACGAGGTAATCGGTGTCGATGGTCAGCTTGGGCTGCTTGAACTGCGGCAGCTGGAGGTGATCGTGAATGGTCTTGGCCGTAACGCAGATGACATTCTGGCCCTTCCAGTACTTGATCATCTTCATGGACTGCAGCGTGTAGATGATGTCGTCGTGGGTGATGCCACTCATGTCGCTCAGTTCCTTGATTGTGGTCTGCTCCGGCGAGCAGCGGTTCTTCATCAGATCCAACAGGGTGTACGCCCAATAGCTGCGGTAGCTTAGCCTCCCGAGATCCGACAGCGGCTTCTCCGGACTCCCGATGACGCCCTCCTTGCGCGACAGCTCATAGCTGAAGGCAATGAGCAGCTTACCGAAACCCTTGCGCTGATGCGGCGGCAGGACGAGGATGCAGGCCACATTGTTGTTGTCCAGTGACTTCTTCTCCTTGGAAAAATAGCCCACAATGTGGCTACCCTCCTTGTCCGTCTCGCAGAGGATGTAAAAGAAAAACGGATCCATATCGAAGTACAACACCTTGTGGTCCAAAAAGAGCTTGGCCATCAGGCAGAGCAGCTGGCAGTACAGTGACTCCTCCTTGCCGTTCACCTCGTAAATGGATATGTTGCCCTTACGGTAGATCTCCCTGCCCGGTGGACGCCTCTTCTTGCAATCGTACAGATGGTAGGCGTAGCTATTCCTAAATCGCATATACTTCAAGCAGTACTCGCACACATACAGAGTCCTCGCCTTGCCGTATTCCTCGGGAAAGGGACTAAAGTACCAGGTGTCTATCTCGTAGTTGCCAAACTGCAGCTTATCAATGTACTTGATCTTGGTGATGGACTCGTGCTCCTTCTCGAGTGCCGCCTGCGAGGCGGTCAACTCAGCATGGCTCTTCTGCACGTGGTTAATCTCGTCGTAACGCCGCTTCTGGTAACGTGTCATCTTCCGGTCGCTGTAGTCATAGCGATTGTTCTCGCAATAGGACAGATAGTAGTCCTTGTTACCCGCTCGCTTCTGGCGCTCGACGGAGGAGGCCGCTGCCGCTGCGGCCGCCTGTTGGGCCAGCATCTCACGGCTGGTGCTGGGCTGATCGGGGGCCAACGGTGGTGCCGGCAGGACAGTAATGCCGCCCAAGTCATCCGCGTTGTCCGAGATGCGGTGCCTGCCCACCCAACCGTCCAGACGGCGATTCAGGCCCACATAGTGCACGTAATACTCATCCGGAGAGGCCGCATTCTCCGTAGCTCGCGATTGCAGCACCTGGCCGGCGTGCACAGTGCCATCGTCGCGCCGAATATAATAGATCTTCTCCGGGTTCTCGTTTATATCGATCTTCTGCATCAGCGGATCGCCGCCCGTTCTGATCACCGTCTCCCTGGAGGTGCTGTCGTGCGTGTCCAGGGTCAGCACATCGTCCTCGTCCTCCTCCTCCTCCTCGTCGTCGTCCTCGCTGCTGCTCGTCTCGCTGCTGTCATCGGAAATGGCCTCGACATTGGCGCCGAGCACGGTTTGGCTGGGCAGCACGGTCGGTGGTGGCATGTAGCGCTGGCGGGGATCGCGGGGCGCCGCCTGGCGGGCGAGTGGTTGCTGCACCTGGTGCTGGGTGCCCTCCTGCATGTAGCGAACGCGCATCGAGGACAGGCGCTGGCGGGGATCGCGATGGGTTGTGTCCTGCGAGCCGTGACTGCGCATATGGCTGGACTGGCCAACGCTGGGTGGTTCCTCGCCATCGTCGGTGGGCGAGGCGGGCGTTTCGGGGACTTCATCCTCAACAGGCATCGGAAGTGGTGCAGCCTGCGGTATTCCCAGTTGGGATGCCCCCTTCAGGCGAAGTGGAGCGGGTATGGTGACCACCTCGGTGATAATGGCCTTGGTGGGCGCATCGGGATCTATGACGTAGTCGTTGATGTTGGAACCACTGCCATAGTCACTGATGTCCGCCACAGAGATCATCTTTTTTGGAGCAGGCTTATCCTCGTTGTCAACCTCCACTTCCTGCTCTTGCTGGAGATCCCGATCCTGCTCCGGCTTCTTCTCCTGCTCCTCATTCTGGGCCTGCTCTTGCTCTTCCTGCTCTGCAGGAGTCGTCTCGTCCGCCTCGCTTATATTGTCGTATCGTGAGGAACTGGAGCCACTGCCATAGGCATTGATGTCGGCCACGCAGATCACAGTATTGGAAGAGGGATCATCCTCGGTGTCCAAGTCCCGGTCCACCTCCATTTCCTGCTCTTGTTGGGCAACCTGACCCTGATTCTGTTCCGGCATATTCACCTGCTCCTGATCCTGAGCCTGCTGCTCCTGCTCCTGCTGCTCCTGCTGCTGTTCCTGTTCCGGAGGCGCCTCCTCCGCCTCGCTGATATCGTCATAGCGCGAGGAACTGGATGTGCTAGTGGAGCTGTTCGAGGTGCTGCTCGTGGGAGTGCTGTCCTCGGAAATGGGACTGATGTCGCGTTGCAGCCGCTTCGCTGGTAGCTCCGACTCCAATGTCTCCTCCACCTGGACACCACCACTGAGGTCCAGCGACTGTTCCGCCGACTGATCCGAGCCGCTGACATCCAGACTGGCGCTCAATTCGGCGGCCGCATCTTCGACCGGCGTCCTCGGTGGACCGCCCTCTGTGTAGTCATCCGCCGCTTGCTCCTCCTCCGGCGGCTGCACCTCCGCGTGGCCCACGCTGGGCGTCTGTTCCAGCTCCGCATCAGACATAGTTGCCGCTAGATTCCGATTCCTCTAATTGCGTGTTATTTTCACTTGTTTGTCACACGAAATGAAATGCTTGCGTTACAATCGGCTTTAGGAGGTATCTATCGATATATTTCATCGGCAGCTATACGCCAGTGTTGCCAGCCTAGCTTTTTATTTCTTAAGACAAATGCTATACAAAATCGAAAATTCTAGCCTTTTTCTCTGTAGCAAAGTTTTTTCGCATTTTCTTTAATATACAAAAAAAAAAAAATTTAAATATATATAAGAACTGAACAACAATTTTCTTATTATTTTTACAAATTTGTTTTAGCCGTTTTAAACGATGTTTCGTCAGCTTCAGAATTTTAGTGATGTTGGCAACACTGCCATTCACTAACGAAATGTCCGTTATCGATTTGAACTATCGACGACATTTTTGGCGCTTTTGAAACTCAGGTTCTAGAATTTTCTCTTTAATTGAATTTTTCCAAGAAAGAAGGGAATTCATGGAAAAAGCGCGCGACTTATTAGTTCCAGCTTAACTTGCATGTCATTTCCTTGTTTTTACGAGGGTGTCCAAATAAAAGCAAATAAGCAGCCGAGGTTTTAGTTACAATAGCGTAGTAACTACTTGAACTTAAAAAAAGTTAAATACTAGTTAAATTAAAAAAACGGTTTAATGACTTATTTTCTATTGCAAAGATATGAATTAAATGTTTATTTAACATTCTATAACCGTAATTGGGTATATTTCTATAGTTTTTTAGTTCATAAACAACATTTTTGTGAATGAGAATTTTGTGAATTATAATATTTGTGTATTAATATTTTTTTATTATTTAGATTCCTCCCCAATTTAATAATATAATTTTCTATTAAAGACATTGAAACCCTCTAACCAAAGACCAATAAGAGTGTTTTTGCAAATTTTTATTGAACATCTATCCTACAGAAATAACGCGCAAACAATTATTGGTAGTTTATGTATGTATATTGCTAAATACAGACAGCTAAAAGCACGGTATGAATTTGGAATTCTTAAAAAATCTTAAATGCATCGATATAACAAATGAAGAGTCGAGTTTTCTCTGACGTGAGGGTCTTGCAATATGCAGTATGCAAATATGCAGAGACCATTACATAACCCCGTCGAGTATAGATCAGATCGTGGGTTCCGTACATAAATAAGTTATATATCTATATAAATGTGACGCGTGTTTGCTATGGCCACCGTTTCGACAATAAGGATTTAGATTTGGATTTGCATCACATCAAGTGTTGACTAGGATGATCCCGATGATCCTGTCCAGACTAGCGTAGGTTAAGCTGCCTTTGCTGGCCGCGATCGTAGAATAGCAGATAGGCGGGGACGCTCAACACCTCGTCGATGCTCACCTCCCGCACAATCGTATCGGATGTGTAGAACCATCTGCGGGAGTGAGGAAAATACGTGTTTATGTATGGATTACACGAAAAGTACTGACCAACTCACCGATGTGCATTCCGCAGCGAACCACGCCTGTAGGTCACAAAATGTCCGCTGTTCGCCTCGCCCGAATGAACCACCACGGCCAGCAGGCGATACAAATTCTTGGGGAACATCGTGCCGAATCCCTCGCCGCCGCCCACGCCATTGTTCATCGGCAGGCTGGTGGAGTAGAGCGACATCGTCGAGCCCCAGGGAGTGCCAGCCTGAAAGCAAGAAGGAATTTACCAAAGGTTTGCTTTAAGGTATATTTTTATAGGTTAGTAAGTTAAAACATAATTTTATTGAGGTTATAGAATAACAAACCGCTTTTAGATTATCAGAAAATATGATTAACAGTTTAGTACTCTCTTAACTGATTAAAAATAAGATTAAAACTAAGCAATACTTAACTCAAAAATATGTAAATTTAAGAATATTGAAAAGTCTGTTTGCACAAAATAGAAAGAGAAAGACCAATTCAATTCATTTCTGGGGTATATGTATAAATGATTGTTATTAAACATAATATATAAAACATTTAATGACTAAATATTAAAGATTCCCAACAAAATGCTTTGATCTCAAGCCATTAAGATTGAATTAATGCATATTATTGCATTAGGTTGATGGATTTGTAAGTCTTTTCCAAGCATTTAAGAGTAAATGACTTGAATTTAACTAAAGCTCTCACCTGGCTGTTGAGATGCGGCTGGACGAAGCTATATGGCGCCATGGAGAGGCTCTCGGGGAAGTGTACGTAGTCCTGTCGCTTGCAGACCTGCCCAGTTGGCAGCCACACCGTCCTCGCCACATGGATGCACAGGCAGGCTGGCAGTTTGGCGAACGTAACCGATTTGGTGTGCGTGGTCGTCTCGTTGCAGGAATCGCACTTGACATCGCTCAGATCCTCCGATGTGATATAATCGCTGAGCAAATGGCCCAAACTCAGGCCAGTCCTGCGCTGCGGCGGCAGATTGAGGGTGATGCTATCGAACTTGTCATACCGCACCGCCGACTTGGAGCCGCAGCCATTGCACACGATCTGGGCACCCATGGCGCCCTGAAACGGATGCGCCACCTGGCTGGGCATCATGTTGGACCAGATGGACACACGTCCGGGTCCGCGATGCAGGCGCTCCAGTGAACGACACGAACTGGACACGCGGCGATTGAGGTTCTCCTCCTGGGATTGTGGTTGCCGCGGACGCGACATACGCTCCCCGCCCAACGTGGGCGTGGCCAACGACTCCAACTCACTGGCCAGCGGAAAGCCAAAAGGTGTCCCGGGTGAAACAGCGTCCAGGAGCAGGGAGCCCAGACGATCGTTGCCCTCGCGTTCGCAAACGGAGGCCGGTGAATCCGGCGTGTGCGCCTCGGAACGCACCAATCGCTGCAAACTGGTGCTCTCATCGTACTCCATGTTCAGGAAATCGGTGAGCATGGCACTCGACGGCCTGTTCGGTTGATCGCCGATCCTCTGGCTGGCTCCTAGACCCGCTGCCATGGAGCTAATCGGCCGGAAGCCACCAATCGGAGTGGCTGTGCCGGCAAAGCTGCTCGTCTCATCGTTGTCCGATGGCAGAGCATCCGATAGACAGCCCAAGGGCTGTGGGCGTATGGTCTCCTCCTCGAGGGAGGACAATAGCACATGGAACAGCTCGTGGGCATCGTGCTCCTCCTGCGGAATGACCCAGCCCAAGGCATTTAAGGCCCGCAGCACCGCGCCCGGGGAGTGGGGATCCCCACGCAAGGTGGCATGGGTGCCATTGACCACCTCCAGGGTGTTCAGCATCGAGGTGATCAAACTCCTTCGATCCGGTGAGGCATTATTGTATAATTGCAGCCAGGCAATGAACTGGGGACAGGCGGCCATCGCCTGGAGCAGGGTGTTCAAGAAGCAAGTTCTTCCGAAGTTGTGGAGTCCGGCAATTTGACCGCGTCGTTGGCGCAACCGGGAACCTGAAAATGTGAGCGTTACTGGGAATACTCTTTCGGGTCCATATATTGGTCTACTCACCCGAGGGACCCCAAAAAACAAAGGCTCCCACAACGGCGGCCACCGTAACTCCGGCGGCCATCAAAATCTTTTCGCTCTCCATTGATTTCAAGTGGTTTTCCGGTTCCAAAAACCTACAGCATGGAGGCCGCGAGTCCGGGAACTCCTGATCCCGCTACAACCACAAACAGAGCACCGTTGCCAAAACGAAAAAACTGGTCAATTTTGCCCGAAAAATGTTGTGTCTGTTTGTGTGTTGTAAAGTAATTCGTTTCTCAACACCTCGCAACACTGGCACACAGTGCAATTATCGCTATCGTTGCGGGACGAAAATAATCAATCAAAATTTAGCACTGCGTCTGTGTAGTTTTAAAATAACAGTTAGGGCTACGAACATTGAACAATTAAAAAAAAAGCTTTTGGTTACCCAAGGCACGATACATAACTTGTTGTGCTTTTGGCTTAAATATCTATTAACAATTTCTGATATGCCTGTTATATTTGATCATATTTTATAAGTCACCCACTACATTTCTAAGTTTATAGCAATTGAACACCTATTTTAAAGTGGTGTACACCAAAAATTTGTAATTTTAATTGTCTATAATAATTATAGTCTGCGTTTAGAGTTTCAATTTGAAAGTCTTTTTTTTTAAATTCAAATTAACTTTCGTACAGGCTATCGATATCGAACATCGATAGTCGAAGAACAACAGCTGTGTTGGAAAGGCGAAAGGGGAATGGAAAAACAAAGTAGACACAACAAACAACGTTTTTAAAATTCGAAACGGGAAAACATTCGGAAATTGGTCGTCGTTCGTGACAGTTGATAAAATTTGTATCAACTCGGATCCTGGGGGCTTAAATTAAAGGGAGCAAAGTCAAGTGGAATTTAATTGCAAAATTTGTGAGTGATTGTGAAAGGTGAATCAGCTGCGGGACAACAAATTATTAAGATTCTGGAACCTTCTCGTTGGTTTTTGTTTCTCCTAAAACGTAAGTAATGGAAATGGATGCTTTTTTCGACCCACTTTACACAGCGTCCTTGTGTCCATTTCCCAATTTTCTCAGCTGAGATGTGCTGCGCAATAGGAAAACCACAACACAAAATAAATACACACACATACACACCAGCTTTTTTTAATCTGTTTTCTTTGCTGCTTTATTGCGCTGTTTGTTTATGTCGACCATTCGTTGTGCAATTTGCTCCCATTTCCCGCATTTAATTTTGGAATCTGTGCCACGCTGATCGCCAAATTGCATATTCTAGAATTTTCTAGAATATTCAAAATTGTTGCATTTCAACATTTATTCAAATCTCTCATTTTTTGTCTTTGTTTCTTTGTTTCACACACACTTGTTTGGCATGTAGGTGTGTATGTGTGCGAGTCACGTTTAACGGTTTTTCCTCGAGTGTGTTGTGTTTGCACAGTGGGTATTGCCTAACAATTATTGCGAAAGTGAATGTATTTTGAACCACTATTTTTGGTTAAGAAATATGTATGTATAAATAGAATAGAATAGAATTCAATATCAAACATTTTTTGCTTCTAAATTTAAAAATAATTACATGTTTTGATATTTTTGAAATATTTTTTAGTGTTGAGAAACTTTTTAATTTGAATTTTGAAATAGTAACAAATAGTGCAAATTTTTATAGAACATTTCAAAAAAAAAATGTTTGGTTCCAATTTAAAGATAACCGAATCTCATATTAAAAATCAAGTTTTTCGATTTTGAACATCCGTACCATAAAAAACTTCAACTTAAATATTTCCATGTCATAGTTTAATATCGTATAAATTGGATCTTTAATCCAATTTAAACTAACCTTTTTAACGTTTTTATTGTAGTAATTTTTACTAACCATAAAAAAATATTTGTGATTCCATATTTTTAAGTTGAAAAGGTAGAAGAATATTATGGCGCTATGATTTCAAAACATCTTAATCTCGAAATTGTAAAGATTATTGCCCAATAAACCCCAAATTTAAGCTTAAAAAGGCGATTTTCAAAGGGTAAAAGCCCTAAATTAAGTTAAATAAAATAATGACTTGTATCCGACATTCACTGTATTTGAAACCCCCTTTTGAACACTTCCCAGGCAAACTGACCCCGAGCCGAGCTTCATCAACGACCTCGAACAAAGAACAAAGAAAGCGCGACTGCAATTGCCATTGTCATATTGCCATAGCCATATAGCCACACATCCATATATAACTGGCTCTAACCAGTGGCAACCAACAAATTCACATTTGGTCAAAACCAGTTGCTGCAGCTGCCTAACGTCGCATTTCCGCCAGAAAGGCAGACAACAAAGAGTTGGCAACAAACATGGATGCCCAGGAGAACAGGAACGGACAGTCCGGTGCCGGCCAGGATGACCTGGAGGAGCGACGAATCCGGACGGACAGCGAGAGCTCCGTGGACAGCATGACCCGCTTCGTGCTGCCCAGCCTGGATGGCACTCCGCCGAAGATCGTCACCATGGACGAGGTGTCCAGCATGTTCAAGAACCTGCGGAACATGGAGCTGGCCCATGAGATAGCCCTCAATCCGGACTTCAAGCTGCAGACGTACGAACCGCCATCGGATAGGTAAGACTGCCATTCAGATAAATACTATGAAGTCATTGTTAACAATAGCAATATATGTATATAGATAAAATATATACATACTTTAATTGTTTCATATATTTTTACCGAATGAGTGAAACCAAAAGAGGGGATATCAATTTTACTCCTGTTTTTAATTTTATAATTTTGGTATTCTATCAGACAATATAATGTATAATCCTTATTATCATACTATGTTGATAATTTATTAGCTTTACAAGCTATATTTTAAAATTCAAATTGAATTTGTATTTCTGAATTAACATTACCAAATTGATGTTTACCTTTCCACAGTTTGGAAGGATCCATCAAGAAGATTATGCACAAGGCTTTCTGGGATTTGCTGCGTCAACAATTGGAACGCCAGCCGCCCTCTTATGACCAGGCCATCCGATTGCTGGCCGAGATCAAGGAGATGTTTCCCCAGATGCTATCGCCCAACAATGAGCGTGCCCTGGCCCACATCAACGAGGTGCTGGATGCTGCCGTTATCCGCCAGCAGGCGGAGCGGGGAACCATTGACTTTCGGTCGTATGCCAATTTTGTGATCAAAATCCTGTCGCGATCCTGTTCGCCGGCCAGGGACGATGCGGTTGCCGCTCTCCTAGAGATCGACGACGTGGTGGACACGTTCCGGGGAATCCTTGAGGTGATGACCCTGATGAAGCTAGACATGGCCAACTTTATGCTGGCCCTGGCGCGCACCGAAATCGCCGCCAATTCGGTGCAGTACGAGAAGGAGAAGTTTAGCAAGTACCTGCGCGAGTTCCATGGAAATGGTGGGTCTTCAAGAACCAATTTAAGAATAGTTTTGAATCTGGTCAATAACTTGTAATTGACTTATTTCCAGCTGGTTTTCCGGCCACTGAGGACTGGCTGCAGCGTCATCGTTCCGGCAGCAACGTGGATGAGACCATTTACAATGCCTACATGCAGCTGATTGACTATCCGGCGGACAAAGAGTTTCCGGAACTGTTGCGCATCGACAAGGAGCGCTTTGCCGGCCTGAGTTGGCGTGCCCAACGCTTGATCCTGTGCGCCTCGCTCATCTCCATTGCCCAGAGCACGCCCATCATTTCGCAGCGTCGCGAGAATCGCATCAAGCTGTCCCAGCAGCTGGACATCATTGTGCAGGATGTCAAGAACCGGGAGTGAGTTCTCAATGCCTACAATAATGTAATCATTATATAATTGTACTCTCATTTGACAGCCAAGTAGCCACTGCCATTGAAAGCTGCTACGAGCAAATACGCTCTTTTGTGAACAAGGCTCTGGAGCAGGAGAATATGCCGCCGATGAGCGATGCTGACCAGGCGGCGCTCAAGAGCCAGGTGCTCAAATTGGCCAACAAGGCTTCGCCAGTGCCCAGTTTGATGGGTGAGTTGTTGGGTCAGGTTTCTATGACCCAAATCAAATCTAGCCTATGTATTAAGTAGTGCTCATTTATAGGGTTTAGCAGTAACCAATAATAACTTATTGGAAATGACTATATTCTTTCGTTGAGTTGTATAAAAATATTTCCGTTTGCAAGAATTTTAAAAAAATACAATATATTTGTATGACCTTCAGTACATACATATGTACATATGTCAATTTAATTTATTTTAAGTAATGCTAACCTTATAAATTAAGGTTTTTTGTTGGGTGGAATTGAATCTCTTGTCCTTATGATGACCTTGCCCACCGAAATTTATATTAGTATATTTTATTTTACTAGTACTAGTATATAGTTTTTTATTGCTCATTGTGAATATTTTTTTATTTATTCTATTTTTTTTAAATATTACTAAATAGAATAGGTATTTCTGTCTTTGTTGTCCTCTTTGGATGTGATTTGTAATATTTATGTTTTGAAAACCGAATTGCATCGTGATTACCACTTATTTTTTATGGGAACTTAGTTAAACAATTATAAATGATAATTACATATTTTTTTCTAATAAATAAACCCTTTTTAATCCCTTTTGCAGCCAAGCGATTGGATGGCTATGTCCGCGTGACCCTGCGCTCCAATGGCAGCATTCCGCCGCCGCCTGCGGGTTTCGTGGACTTCCAGGAGGAACTGGTTGCATTTATCGCCTCATTTCGGCGTCTTGTGTCCTACAATCATGCCGTTTTCGGGGAGCACTTCCACCAGATCCTCAACAAGACCATGTCCGAGGAGTCGCAGGCGAATGAGGAGGCAATACGCGCGGGAAGTGGAATGACCGCTGGCCAGGCTCAGACTGCCAAGCCTTAGGCAGCGAGAAGATGATGATTTGCCTCTTAGGCAACACACAATATTAGCTAGCATACAACACTCAGATACACCTGGAAACGAGGGAAGGATGATGGAGGGGATCTAATGTTGAAGCAACTACCGGAGTGGCAGAGTGGCAGTGTGGAGAGCATCTCCGTGGAACAGGAAGCGAGCAGGATTCTACGTTTCTCCCAATTTCGCTGATGTTTTTTCATGTGACACTCGCGTAGAAATTTTGACGTGCACACCCGTAACCACCAAGAAGAGCCCAAAAGTCCGAATGCCAGTCATCACACACACACACACATCCCACCTGGGGAACAAAAGAGGGATTTCATTTGCGGCGGCCAAACAAAAAAGGAAGGACGACTGTGCTAGGGCATCTGTGATAACCAAGAACATTGAAGTTATAGACAAAATCCTTTTGTGGGGCTTTCCATAGCGGACTCTATTGTGTGTGCTCCTCATTTAACTTTGATCGGCTGCAGATCTGCTGCGGCTATCGACCAATCATATTTTAAGCCCTCTACATGAATACTAACTAGAATACTAGATTATATATTATATACATGTCTACCGTTATCCCCCAAACTAATCTTATTTTTTAGACATCTGTAAAACTTATGATTGTAACCCCAACTGAGTTTATTTAATGGTTCTATTGATCCGTGGAGATTCGATTGCGTGAATCGTGCGGGTGAAAGGCAGCTGGCGTGCATAAGGATATACATTTATCAATTTTACCGATATTCAAAATAGAAAATATTAAAATTATTTGTTTTTAAGGTTTTTTATTGATAGAAGGGCAGATATTTTAGTTCTAAATAATACATTGGTCATATCCTGTTGTTGCTTTTATTGTTTATTTTGATACCTTTGTCTTAAAATAAATATCTATGTGAATTGGTATTTCAAAACAATATCAGCGATTGCATATCTTTCAAATTTATATTAATCGAATAGTCGGCAGGAGCTGCCAGATCATCAAAAATATGTGAGTCGTTTCACAAAAGTCCAATAGATGGCGCCTGCTTTGAAAATTTTTGAAAAAGTATATTGTAGCAGAGTTACCAGATCAAAGAAATAAGAAACAATAAACAGATGGCGCCACAGCAACGGTTTCTTAAAATTAAAGTTTAAAAGTTTTGCATAAATAAACGTTGTTGTTTTTTTTTCTATCATAAAAGGGTAGTAGTTGTATTATTATATGAATTCAGCACTTAAGCACTTTCGGCCTAGAAATTTTCCCTATTTACGTTACCTTTTGTGTTTTTTTTTGCCCTTGTTTGGGTATTCTTGCGAAGTGAGTGTAATAATAGTAAATTGCAGGTACTTTGATCACTGTATACATATAAACTCATTCATATATTATTTCGAAGTCGATATCACAAATGAACGAGGAATTTCAGGGTAAGCACATACAAAATCTCCTCTAAAATCCCCAACTCGACCACGTTATCGAAATTATATTTATCATCATTACTTTATTAAGTTCATTTCCTCTTCTTTACCAAAAAAAAAAGCCAACCCAGCAATATTACGCAATCACAATGGCAATCTTATCGAGGGAACGGAACGGAATGGATCGTTACCATTACCTTTACCATCGCCGTTAGCCAGTTTCCATGACGTTGATAAAGCAAAAAGCCAGATTAGATTAACAGCCCGTTCTGTTCTGCCTGTGATTCCCTTTTCTTCTGACCCAACAACTTTTCCCCTTTATAGCCACTAACACATATTGTAAACTATACATCAGAACTCGATCGTATTCATGGTTTATATATAGATATGGTTTTTATTTCCTGGGGGTCATAACACCTGAGCTGCCCCGAATTTAGGAAATACTAAACACTGAAATCCAATCTTAAAGATGAAATCATTGGAGATTGCCAAATGTTTTAGCTGTAGAGATTTTTTTTACTAAAAATGTAGTTCTCAAGAAAAATATTGTTTTAATGATTGTTATGAACAAAAATATAAGGAAAATAAATTATATTTTATTTTACTAAAAACAATATATATTTTTAATTAATAAATGTTTTAAAAATCATTGTGCGTCAGTTGAAAAGACGTAACATTAAAACTAACAATAATTATCGCAAAATGACGCAAGTTGGAGAAATTGGATAAGATAGGCCCTATATGGTAGACACGTAGTATCATAAGACCTGAAAATAGCAAACAAGACACGATTTCGCTGATCAAGGTAATATTTCATTTGGCATCTGTAAAGTTTTTTATCATCACAAGACATTAGACGGAATGCTTTTCCTATCGCTATACAATACACCCCACCCGCTTTCCCATTGATCATAAATGTCAACCGCTGATTGACTGCCGAATGGATATCGAATAGAACCACAGACCTTGAACGATCATTGCTGATATGATATGAAAACATACACAAGGAAGTTACATGAAATTGGAAAAGCAAAGAGGAAGAATGCTCGATAGAATTGTTTCAAAACGAATTGAACCAAAGGCCTGATAACTAATGACTCGACCTTCGATAATTAGGCTAACCATACATAAGAAAATTACATTGATATATGCTTTGGTTTAAGATTAAGTTTTACCTTTCGGAAAAAATTTAATTTGGAATATTTAATAATTGCATTAATATATGTAGCTTAAAATTGTTTATCAGAGGCGGCAAGTGGTTTGCGCCAATAAGTGTGCTACAATTTGAATAAATGGTCATTTGATTAGTTTAATAAGGCTCTGATTCCATATGCAAATTGCAGTCATGAACAGGGGTCAAATTGGTTCAAATAAGTTAGTTAAATTTGTATGTGGATTTAACCTGAGAAGAGCACTTAAAATATTAATATATATAAATACATTTTTGACAGTTTTTGCCTTTGATATTTTATATTTGATAGAACAAAACCTGGAAAAATAAAATCTTTTTGTGGAGTACCATTTTTATGGGACTTAAGATAAATAAATAATCTCAGCTTATTATATTGAATTACAGATTGTATATGTATGTACATATCTGAAAATGAAGAAACACTGTAGGTATGTTCTACGAATGTGCTGGAAGCGTCTCTTAAAGCTCTTTAACCTTCATGATGGGTGGTTACAGAAGGTCGGGTCAAGCAGGGTTATATATACTATGTGTACATACATATATATATATACATTTATATTTGCAGAGAGAAAAAGAAAGAGAGCGGCCGGCAAAAAAAGAAAGGAACGCATGTGAATATTTGCACGTGCTTTTTGTGAGAGCGGCGCAGGCGTTTTACCGTTATTTCTCTGCCACTCTCTTTTTGGGGTAAGTTTTCCCCTGAAATGCGGCGAATTCTAAGAAAACCACCACCATTATTAATGCACCGTTAATCTTATACACCACACCCCCGAATCCAACTTTCGCCAGAAAAAGAGAGGTAGAAATGAAAACAGCTGCAATTGATGATAATGATAATGTTAATGATAAGGATATGCAAAAACATACATACATATGTAATTTTAAATGTCTGATTTAACCTTTTGAACTTTGACATTGTTGCTGTTTTGAGCTCAAGATTTGTGGGTTGAAATTTGCGCATCGTAATAAGAATTTGTATAATCTACAAGGTTCTACATCTATGCGTACATAATATGCAATGCAAAGATAGACACATTTACTATAAAGAACAGCTTCTGCGCTCTGAGTTAGTTTTTCCCGCTTTGCAATGCTCCTTTTGGCCTGGTGAATTTTAAATTTCCATGCCCATTTTTAGACACAAAACAGTGAGAGCTAATATGGGTTTTTACCATTTTTGAAGACTGTATTTTACAAATGTATATTTTCATATATATGTTATATATTTAAAAACATTGACAATTGGCTTTTAATTTCAAGATGTATTAAACTGTTTTACAAGATTTAAGGAAATCTATCTATGCAATAGACATATTCGATAATAAGTCTGTAAAAAACGGAGTTTTGCATTACACTTTTAAGAGTTTAAAAAAGCATATTTTCAATTAATAATTCCTTTCCTTCTATAAAACAAACACAAAAGTCGATCTTCCTTGACCATTTTGCAGCCATGTATAGATAAATTACATTTAACCAGCATATTTGCCACACACCTTTAACCTCCCGTTTCCCATTTCCATTTCCACTTCCCGTTTTTCCATTGAGCCATAAAATGAAGGCAATCGATCACTTTGCATTATAAATCAATGCGTTGCTGGAAAATGGGAGGGGGGCTAAATGGGAAATGGGGATTTCAATGGGAGGTAGGGGGCAATCAGAGAGCGGCTCCGACAGCATAAAAACGAAGAAAGAGCGGCAGAGAGAGGAGCTTCGGCTGTTGCGTATAACCATATTTGGCATTGCATTTTCCCAACTGCAGTTGTGTGTATATGTTTGTATATGTAAATATATGCTGTGCTCTCATGCAAGAGAGCACAGCGAGAGGGATAAAGAGACAGATAATAGGAGTAACAGAAGGAAATAATAAAAATAAATTTGAACTTGAACTTCCCGCTCCCGTCTCTGCGTTTGTGTGTGTAGCGAGTGTGTGTGTTGAGTCCACGCCCCCGCCCAAAAAAAAGCCGGCGACAAACACACCCAAAAATACAGTAAAAACCGCCAAAAACCACTCTTTCACTTTCTATACTACTAAAAAAAAATGATATGAAAAAAGTAAATATTAAACAAATGACATAAAAAATGTTGTTTAAAAATAGTATAGTGATTTTGTTAATATTAATTCTGAAATCGAAGGATGTTTATTAACTAACGTTCGACTTATAATATTCCCACTGTACTTGCAAAATACGTTCCATTCCGCTCCTTTTTCTTGAGCAGGTTCTTCTTCTTTTATTTAAGCCCCGATAATGGAAGGAGAATTGGTTGCGAGTCTTATGTACATATGTATGTATGTATGTATGTATGTAAGCACATATGTACATTATTTCGAATCGATTTATGAAGCGACGTCTACCTGCTAAGGTCCTCCGAAGATGCGATTTGAATATTAACGATCTTCGATCGCCGGCAAAGTGTATAATAATTTCTCATTTCGTTTTCAACTCCATTTGGTTGCTTTTCCCTTTTATTTCTCCCTCTTCTGCAATCTGCGTTGTGAGCGGCATTCGTAATCGCCTCCGTTTCCGTTTGAGTGACTGATCAAGTGTATATAACAATAATATATATTTGGTATGTAGATGAGTTTCCTCTGACAGTGGGACCAAAACTATTGAGAACTCATAAAAAGAGTGGCAAGATCAATATGAAAATTCAAAACCAATATTGTTGATTAAAACGACAACAAAAATACTTTAAAAAGGATATGTGATAGTTCTTAACTAGTTAGATCGAACAACCGACTATTTCTTTCCCAGCAATAATCATAAATCAAAGTCAATAAATCTTACAATCATTATCAAATTTATCAATTTAATTGTTACCAATTACAAGAATTTTTCTTGCTATTGCACTCTACAGTTGCAACATTCTACAAGCATTCTTCACCGGTTTTCCCTGCTTTTGTTTTTTCCTGGTCTGAGGTTGCTCTAGATCTAAATACACCTGAGAAACGAGAACGTCTCAAGGGAACATATTTTTACCGCCAGTAATCTAGCGATATTGCTGTTGGTATTGCAGTGCTATTGTTGGTTTTGTGCGTGCCACTGATAAGTTAAGCGAAGCCAGAAGGAAAATCCGATATGTGTAATCAGAATAGTTGTTTTTTTCACCTTGATACAGGAGCACCTGACTGTTCTTTTCGTCCATAAACACCTTGTACTGAATTTAGAAATATATACGTGTATTT